CGAAATGAATAATTTTGACTCTAACAAAAAAAAAAAAAATACCATATATTCTTTGATCCCTCGTGAAATAATGATCAATAAAATTTGAAAACGTATTCTCAATTCTATCATTGTAAAAAAAAAAAAAAAAAAAAAGAAAAAGAAAGAAAAATGTATGAATCGTACGATACAGAAATTATTTCAATCGCGAGCTCAAAGTTAATATGAGATGGTTCTACATATTCACACAGGTACAAAATTAGGATTAAATTGAAGGAATGAAGAAAAAAAAATTTTCGAAAAACAATCGTCAATCGATTTCACAAGATGAACGACACCGCACGTACATACGTACACGCATACTCGTATTATAATGAAACGAAAGAGGAAAAATATTTATGTATAAAAATTTGTCGAAAAAATTTGTAATATTTATCGTTGTACAGGGCACCGATGCAAGGTCACGATAGTTCGGCAGCATCCTTCAGCAGTTTGACGAGCTTTGAGACGCAAACATTAGCATCGACCAATACCAGTCCGGTATCAACGTTAACAGGTACATCGAGTGAAACCGAAGCGGCGGCTGCTCTACGTTCTACTAATAAACCGAAGGGCAAGATAAAAGGAAAAATAAAGTCGAGAGATTGCGACAGTGCCGGTAGTTTGGTATCAATCTCAACCTCGGCATCAGCTTCTACGTCGATGTCAATGTCGATGTCAGTTTCCGTTTCCGGTCTTTCGAACGGTAGTTCGAGCCCGTTAACACCAAGAAGACATTCCGTTAATGCCTCGCAATCTAACCAACCCAATGAGGAAGTAAATCAATTTAAGAATCGACGTACATGCGTCAGAAGATCGGCCAGGGCTGGTAACGTCAAGGGAAGCATCGACCCCAAACGTAAATTAATCAATAATATTATTTATAATTGATTGACTATAATTGATTGTATAGAATAAGTTTTGAGAACGATCGATTAGAGTCTCGTTAGAAAAAAAAAAAAAAAAAAAAAAAAAATAAGAGAGAGAAAAAAATATACCGATATATCGGACAAATCCTTTACGAACGAAAGTAATTGCATTTAAAAAGAAAAAAAAAAAAAGAAAAGAAAAGAAAAGAAAAAAAAGAAAAGATTTGTTAGAACCGACGATATTCGTTTGACCTTCGATCAAAAAAAAAAAAAAAAAAAAGAAATAAAAAAAAAATAAAAAAATAAAATTCGACCGATCGAAACGAAAATGAATAAAAAAAAAAAGTCGTAGCTTTCATCGAAGAATTTTTATTTTAATATTGATCGTACTATTCGAGGTCATACCAAAGATCACATAATAATTATGATCGATTAAAAAGAATCTTATATGTTTTCTACTTTAGTTACAAGATTGTGTAATAAAAGAGTTTGAGTTAGTGTTTTCAACGATGAATTTTTATTTTAACGTTGATCAGATTTTTCATGGTCATCTCAGATAAATCAAACGAAAAGTATCGTCGATTAATTTCGTGATTAAATCAACATTTTATTATACAATTGATGTCGTTCGTAAATTCTTTCTTTTTTTTTTCATCTTTTTTTCTTTTTTTTTTTTTTTTTTTTTTCTTTCTTTCTTTTTTTTTATGACAATCGATCGTTTCGAAACATTTGACCTTTAACCGTTATAACTAATTAAAAAGCAAACGATATTATTATATCTCAATTCTATATGGATCCTTCTAGTACGCTTCGTTCAGCATCACGCCACGTCACAACTTACACTGAAGCCATTATTCTTTGAAGTTCCTCTTCTCGAAACTGAGCCATTATTCACTGGACGTATTTGGCTATTACACGAAATATTATCCGTGATAAACAGTTCGAGTCCTGGTATATTAATATCCGGATCACCTGGTACAGGTAAAACGGCATTGGTATTGCAGTTGGTGGAACATAGTTGTTTTGGTAGGCGACGTGTGCAACCGGTTCCGCCGGAAATAACCGAGGAGATCGAGAATGATAGAGAAAAATCAAATGCCTCGAGCACTCTTCAATCGAATGTTAGGCGCACCAATGAAAAGGTAATACCTTCTTGCCGATATTAATATCACGATCGAACGTTAATAATGATCGTTGATAAATTAATTTTTCTTTTGTTTTTTTTTTTTTTTTTTTTTTTTTTTTGTATTTTTTGTATTTTTTGTATTACTTGTAGGTTCGAGAATTGGCGTCCCACGTAGTGGCCTATCATTTTTGTCAGGCCGATAACAATAGCACCTGTCTTGTACCAGATTTGATTCATTCGTTGGCCGCACAATTATGTCAGGCACCTCAATTGATCGCTTACAGGGAATATTTATTGTCCGAACAACATCTACAGGGCTCACTATCGCAAAGAGAGTGCACCGTAGATCCGGATCTTGCACTTTCAAGAGGCATCATCGAGCCACTCTTAACATTAAGAAAAGCTAATAGATTGCCTGAATCTACGATGGTACGTATAGTCATTCGATAAGTTTATTTCTTTTTTTCTTTTTTCTATTTATTTATTTTTCTTTTTTTTTCTATTTTGTAAATAATTATAATTGATCATACGATAAGTTATTACTTTTGCCATGATATAAGGATTTGAATTTTTCTTCACAAACAATAAATTTAAATTTATTTATAAAGAGAATAATAATATATCTCTGATGTCGAATTTATAAATGTAAATCATAGGAATTGATTTGATTGATTGTTTCTCAATATCGTGATATTAAATTCGATAAAAGAACAAACTTTAATTCATTTGAATTTATTTAAAAAAAAAAAAGAAAAAAAAAAAGAAAATTTGATTTTACCTTAATATCAAGATTAAATATAAACGATATCAAATCTATTAAATAATTTGACAAATTTCTATATATTTAAATATCATGAATTGATATTCGTATTTTCTTCGAATTTATTTCTTTGTTTTGGTGGGGGGGGGGGGGACCATAAATAAAAATTCAATTAATAAATTTGTAATAACAAAATTACATAATTTTAACTTTTCCTTTTTTTTTTTTTTTTTTTTTTTTACAAATTATCTTCATTATTAATTATATCTACATGAAAGAAAATATAATAACTTAATAATATAATATAAATAATAGATTAATAAAAAAAAAATATAATAAAAAATAAATACAAGAAAGAAAAAATAGTTTTTTTCTTTCTTTCTTTCTTTCTTTTTTCTTCCATTTTGTAGATAATATTTATTTAATAAAAAAAGAAAGACAAAAAAAAGTTCATATCAAGTTTTAATTTGAAAACAGGTAATTCTCATCGATGCCGTTTGCGAAGCTGAATATCACAGACCTGACAGAGGTGACACAATAGCGTCCTTCTTAACGAGGCACGCGCCTAACTTTCCAAGCTGGCTCAAGGTCATTTGTACGGTTAGAACGCAATTATTGGAATGCGGTAAACAGCTACCGTACACTAGGATATCGTTGGACAAAACTTCAAACGATGTTGCTAGTAACAATGTCACCAAGGACTTGTCCGATTACATTGGTTATAGGCTCGCACAAAGTCCCGCGATACAGACCAACGTGACAGCATCCGTTAATGGAAAAACGGAATCATCATGTGGTGCCAATCAAACTAGATTCGCGTCGCATTTATTAACATTGGCCAGAGGAAGTTTTCTATTTGCAAAATTGACCCTGGATCTAATCGAGAGTGGACATCTAGTTGCTAAATCAGCGAGTTACAAAGTAAGAAAGGAAATAGAAGAGTTTTGTGTTTTTTTTTTTTTGTTCCAAAATATTGAAATTATCAATGAATTTTTCTAATGAAGTTTTATATTATAATGTTTAATAATGATCGATTACGACTACTTCGAAAAGTCAAAATATACGATCATTCTTTCGATACGATATATAAATCCTTTATTTATTTTTTTTTTTTTTTTTTTTTTTTTTTTTGTAGGTTCTACCAGTTTCCCTCGCACAAATCTTCCAGTTACATTTCAACCTAAGATTTCCTACAGCGACCTCCTTCGATAAGGTCCAACCTCTCTTGGGCGTATGTCTGGCAGCTTTGTATCCCCTGACATTATTAGAAATTTATTATTCGATAAATTCATTGACTACAAATCACTTCGTTTCGTGGGAGGACTTCATGCAGAGATTTAAGGTGAGTTAAATATATATTTAAAAAAAAAAAAAAAAAAAAAGAAGAAAAGTAAAACGAAATTTGAGTACTTGTCAATTGGTATGTCTCTATTTTAATAATATATATATATATATTATTAAAAAAATAAAAAAATATATATATTTTGCACGCATAACCAATGAAGACATTACGGTACGTAAACAAAATGCAAGATCGTAAAAAGATAGGTCTAAATTGTTGATACGATTAAAAAAAAAAAAAAAATGATATACAAATAATCCAATTGTATTTGGTTGTTAGATGCTCTCTGGGTTTCTCGTGAAACGACTAGACGACACATATATGTTCTTTCACCCGTCATTCAGGGAATGGTTAATGAGAAGGGACGAAGGTGAATCTACTAAGTTTCTCTGCGACTTGAGACTCGGGCATGCAGCTATTGCGTTTAGATTGTCACGTCTACAGGCACCATTGGACGGTGAAAAAGCATTGGAGCTTGGTCATCATGTATTGAAAGCACACGTTTACAGGGGTGTCGCCCCTTGTTGGCCATCACGTGATTTACAAGTATATATTTTATATTGAAAAAAAAAAAAGAAATATATATATATAATACTATGGAATGAATTTAACAATTTCAAATGAATAAGTATCAAACGAAGATTTCAATGAACTAATTGTAATTGTTTAATTTTCGTCAGGCAATCTGGCTGGCTTCATCGACGGAATGCGTTTCCTCGGCATTGTGCACATTACGTAATATTTATAGTCCGAATGTAAAAGTATCAAGATTGCTTCTGCTGGCGGGAGCATCACCAAATCACGTAACCGAATATTTAGGGAACGCACCGGTTCTTTGTATGTATGCACACGAGGGTTCAGTAGAGATGGTCTCGCTTCTTCTTGAATTTGGTGCGGACGTTGAATTAACCAATAGCCAAGGTTGCACGGCATTGTCCCTCGCTGCGGCACGAGGTCATTGTGACGTTGTTAGAAGGTATACATCGATTGATTCGATCATTATACGTTGTACTTTTAATCTTTTGAGTGTTGAACATTCCCAAGCGGGCGTCTAGTGATTTCGATATCGCTAGAGACGGAATACTACTTTCACAAATATAAATTCGCTCGATTTAATAAGCAAAGCGCAAAACTATATAACTATATAAACAATACAAGAAAGCTATTTTCTAGCATTATTTTATTCGAAACAGTAAAATGTAAAACGTATCTTAACTTGAAATTATCTTATGTACGAGTAGGTCGAAAAAATTGGTGGACGCATATATGCGCCCACAATCCATGGCGATCGCTGTCGCTAAACGCATATATGCGTCCATATCACTCAAAGGGTTAAAAAGAGAGAGAAAAAGAGAGATGAAAAAAGAAATATATATATATATATATAAATATTTATTTAGCAAAATCAATAAACAAATTTGAAGGGATAATGATAAATTACTTAACAACGGATTTCTCCTTATAAAATATTTATTTTGAAAAAACATTTTTTAGATTAGCCGCAGCCGGAGCTTCACTTGGTCACGTCGACATGGCAGGACAATGTCCATTAGTACACGCGTCGAGACACGGTAAATTGTCCGTAGTTGGTTATCTATTGGCATGTGACTGGCTCGTACCGAGTGGTTTGAAAACAACCGAAAACAATGTATCGTTGGAGATAAGAAGGGAAGAGGCGGCTCAGCAAGCGGTTGTCGCAGCTGCTGCTCAAGGTCACGAGTCGATCGTAGAATATTTGTTGGACATGGCCGAGGTTATAGTAGATTTACCTGATACCTTGATAGGTGAAACAGCTTTGACAATTGCCGCGGCTAATGGCTCGACTACAACAGTTTCCGCACTTTTGGCTCGTGGTGCTAGCCCATTGTCTGTTAATGCTAAAGGTCTCTCGCCATTGATGTTAGCCGCGAGAGAAGGTCATTGGGGTACAGCTGAAAGACTCTTACAAGGAACATTATCAAGTAGTACAGACACCATTCTAGATGACGCTTTAACTTTATTGGATCAACGCGATCCTTCTGGTCGTACGGCATTGATGTTAGCCGCCTCCGAAGGACATACAAATCTTATTGAAATGTTTCTCGATAAAGGATCCGTACTCGAAGCCAAGGACAAGGAAGGTCTTACCGCTCTTTGTTGGGCATGCGTTAGAGGAAGATTAACCAGCGTACAAAATCTTCTTGATCATAATGCCGACGTTAACACGAGCGACAACACTGGTAGAACACCTTTGGATTTGGCTGCGTTTCAGGTATATATATATACATATTATATTTTTCTTTCATTTTTATTATCGTTAAATCCAATTAGGACGTTGACGTGATAGATTCAGGGCGTGAATGTGATAGATTCTAATAAAAAAAAATATATATATATATATTTTTTTTTTTTTTAATTCTATCAATATTAATATTTTGATTTAGGGTAATCCAAAGCTCGTACAATTGTTACTCGAGAAAGGAGCCGCCGTCGAGCATGTTGACTTGCACGGCATGCGACCATTGGACAGAGCAATCGGATGTCGCAATATACCAGTTGTACAATGCTTCTTAAGACGCGGTGCAAAACTTGGACCAGCTACTTGGGCAATGGCCGCTGGAAAACCCGATGTCTTGCTTATATTATTGAACAAACTTTTGGAGGACGGAAATGTACTTTATCGAAAGAGCCGTTTGAAGGAAGCCTCGCATAGATACGCATACGCTCTTAAAAAATTTCCTATATCGCCTGAGGAAGATTGTCAGGGACAGGAACAGGGTCACATGATACTGCAACTTCAGAGTTTTGCACAATTGCGATTGAACTTCTTCCTGAATCTTAGCCGATGCAAGCGCAAGATGAACGTAATACTTTAGATTATGTCAATTTTATATTTATATTAATTCTTTTAGATTAGTACGTGTTTTTATTTTTTATTTTTCTTCATCATTTTTTTGTTTTTTTTTTTCTTCCTATTCGTTCAATAATTTTTTAAATACTGTGTCCCAAAGATTTCTCAAGATCAACTTTCCATTATTATTTATTAATAATTAACGCGTTAATGTCGGCATATACCGCAATATAGATCGCTATATTATATATAATAATAAATATCCAATTTATTGATATTAGATTTATCTAATATCAGACTATTGATCTTTTGATTAGTATCTTAAATGATTAACTGTATTTGTGCATGTTAGATATACGACAACTCCAGGCTAACTTTGAGATCAATTAAAACAACTTTGCGTATTGCATAATTTGTGAATAATTTTTTTCTTTTTTTTTTTTTTTAATTTTTTTTTTAAATTAGAAATGCTTTTTCAAATCTCTACTGATTATTATTTCACGAGACTTCAAAGGATATATGGTAATTTTTTGGAATTAAAATTATTCGTTCCGTACAAATGATAACTGTTCAAAGTGCCTGATAGAGGGTTGGTGTATATAGCACATCCCAAGTGCACAATTTGAAATTATTTTATGGTTTGCCAACAATTAGGATTAAAAGTAAATTTTTTTTTTTCCAATATAATAACAGATATCCTATTTTGCTGCTAAGAAAATCGTTTCTCCGCTTTTATCAAAACTTTCAACTTTTTAATTAATATTTTAAACGCGTATAAAAGAAATTATTTCCAATATAACATTAGATATCCATTTTGTTGCTAAATTAAAGGAATCATTTCTCCGCCATAATGGAACTTTTAATTTTTTTTTAAATTAATATCTTAAATGATTAAAAGTCATTTTTCCAATAGCTAACAAATAAAGATTCAGAGTTACGACGTAGAAAAAAAGTCTACATTAAATGATGACGCTCGTTAGTAGTTACGAAAGTAAGAAGAAGAAGAAGAAGAAGAAGAAGAAGAAGAAGAAGAAGGAAAAAAAAAGAGAAAAAGAAAAAAAAAAGATTACGAATTAAAAAAAAAATGCAAATTACAGCGCCGGCGTCAACGAGTTAAAGTCAATAAAGGAATGCACGTAGAAAAGAAAAGAAACAAAAGAAATAAGGAAAAAAAAAAGAAAATGTCACCTTTGAAGGATACCACGCCGCCTCCATATTGATTTTTTGCGTGTCCATATATTTTTTTTTTCATTCTCTTTCATTTTCTTTCCTTTTTCCTTCTTTTCTTTTCTTTTCTTTTCTTTTCTTTTCTTTTCTTTCCTGTTAAAATAAATCACGCGTTACAAGTAAATAACAATTAATAGAAAATTATCAATTTTATTTTTAGGAAGGTGCAGAAGCCATTGAACTTGCCGAAGAAGCATTGAAAGTACGGCCAACGTCCTACGAAGCATTTTATGCGCGTGCAAAGGCACGCGTTGACGTTGGTCTCTTAGAGGAGGCTATGTCGGACGTACAGGAAGCATTACAAATAGCACCGGCACAAAATCGTCAGGATCGTCGGGTTTTAATCGTTCTAAGGGATGAAATAGTATCACGTATCGACGAGGCCGCAAGTGCGAACAAAGAATCGAACGATTGCAATAATCGATCGCGTCTACGTGCCTCCGTTGACACACTCACGGAATTATAAATATTATCGAGATATCGATATTAGTTTTATAAAGGGAGAAAGAGAAAGAGAAAGAGAGAGAGAGAGAGAGAACATTTTTATTTTTTTTTTATTTTTTTTTTTTTTTTATTATTTTTTTCAACACCCAATAACTTCCGATCGTTTCGAATTTAAGTCTTAACGACGATGATTTGTTTCTTGAATTATTATTATTAGTATCATTATTATTATTATTATGATTATTATGATTATTAGTAGGAAGAAAAAAAAAACAAAAAAAAGGAGAAAGAGCATGATTTATTAACTTATTTAATATAATTATATTATACGTAATTATTCTCCATCATTATTTTCGATCGCAATCGATGTAACGCAAAAGAAATTACATGCCGCACTACTTGCTCTTTTTTACTGTTTTTTTTTCTTTCTCTTTTTTTATTATTATTATTATTATTATTATTATTGTCGCATAAACCGATTCGGGATATCATATTTATGTGTTATATTTAAAATGACTTTATCGTGAACGTAAGTACTGCCAAGTAATAGGAGAGCAAGTTCCAAATGCTCGTATCGTATTTAGCTATTATCATATACTAATTCCGTATTGCGGTAATATAAATAACATAAATAAGTTTGTTTAAATGGAGAAACGTATTGGGTATTTCTTTCTTTATTTTTTTTTTCTTTTTTTTTTTTTTTTTTTTTTTTTTTTATTTTATATATATATATGTGTATATATATATATGCAAAAGAGAAACGCGCAAAATTGTCAAAACAAACGGATTCTTTTTATGTAAGAGATTTAATTACTGTGCAGAAACGTGATCATCATAATACAAAGAAAAAAGAAGAAGAAGAAGAAAAAAAAATATATATATATATATATATAAATTTGTATTATATATGTATATGGCAATTAAAAATTGGCTTACGTAAGAGTATCCGTTGTAGTAATAATAATAAAAAAAAAAAAAAAAAAAAAAAAAAAAAGAAAAATTATTTAATAATTTCTTTCAGTATTTTCGTTGACATAAAAGAAACAAAAAAAAAAAGAAAAAAAAGAAAAACAACAATAACAAAGAAAAGAGAAAAAAAGAGATCGAACGGACGATCAACACAAGAAGAAAGAATTCGTATGGATCATTCGAACGTGAATATATTTAAATAAGAAAAGATGAAGCTTTAATCGAAAGGAAAAGAAAAATAGTAAACAAAAAGAAAACACGCCACGCACACGCGCATACATATAGTAATAATTTATAGATAAAACATGGCTCATATAAAATGTAATTTATGAATGCACTTATCTTGCCCGGCGCGTGTACGGTTATTATTATTATTATTATTAAATTTTTTTTTTTTTTTTTTTTTTAATGTTGTTTCTATTTGTTGTAATACCAGTGCTTGTTTAATAAATATTTTTATAGCCTTTATTACATGAATTTTTATATACAACATATATACAATAGGTATATACGTATATGTGTGTGTATATCCTTTACAATATACTTACACAAATGCTGCCAATACGCAAAATAAAAAAAAAATAATAATAAAAGTAACTGTTAACTTAATAATAAAAAAAAAAAGAAGAAGAAAAAAAAAATATAACTTTTAACAAAAGTATCAAAAATCAAACAAAGTGACCGTACGCGTGCAATATATATATATATGTATTGCACGTTTTTGTAGAAAAAAAGTGTTTCAACAAAATTAACCGTAGATACGTAAAAGTTTATTTTAAATGGTATTTAAGGATATAGACGAATCACACACGATGAACTATTATATTATATTATATTATATTATATTATATTATATTATATTATATTATATTATATTATATTATTATTAATATTATTATTATTATTATTATTATTATTATTATTATTATTATTATTACTATTCGAAGTGTTGCTTAAAAGCATCGAAGAAAAGAATGATAAAGAGAAACATAAGAAGATGTTATTGACCTATTACCATAAAGAAAGAAGGTGTCAAATAAACGAACATTTTTCATTTTTCATCGGTTTTTTTTCTTCTTTTCCTTTTTTTTTCTTTTTTTTTTTCTTTTTCCTTTGTCTTTCCTTTTCTTTTTCAAATGATGAAGAATCCATTAATTCCATGTATCGTTATATCCCATTGACGACAATGTGAATACATAATATATTATTTTAAAAAGTATTCGTATACATTAAGCGTGCGCGAACGATCGTATATAATAATAATAATAATAATAATAATAATAATAATAATAATAATAATAATAATAATAATAATAATTTTAATAAATGCGATTGATCGTAGAAAAGGAAAACAAAAAAAAAATATCCGTATCTTACGTTTTAAGTGTGGGGAAAAAAAACGAAAGAATAGAAATCAAAAAAAAAAAAATAACTAAAATTTAAAACCTTCAACCATATTTCCCTTTTCTTTTCATTTCTTTTTTTTTTTTCTTATTTTTTTTGAAATAAAAAATAAAAATAGAAATATCATAATATCGAAGAAGAACATGTTTCGAATATTTCGGTATTTGTTAATAATGTATAAAATAAATTCGTTATTGCATTTACGTTACGCACGCTTTACGAATGAAAATTTTATATATATATATATATATAAATTCTTACATATGTAAATTTTATATATATATATATATATATAAATTCTTACATATGTAATGACATTCAAATATATAAGCGTACTACAAATAACATACTTTTTACAATTGAACGTAGTGTCTATGTTAAATATGCGTTTGGTCTCGCGTCTGAGGCAATTATGTTGACAAATACAATTACTTAGTTTTTTCTTTTTTATTTTTTTTTTTTTTATTTTTTTATTTTTTTATTATTATTATTATTATTATTATTATTATTATTATTATTATTATTATTATTTTTAAGTACACTTCAAATACTTTTCGATTAATTTGTATGCGCAAAAGTTTAACGGCATTATTTTTAAATTCATTCCCTTGTCCTTTTCTTCGTCCCTATCATCCTCTCTCTTTTTCCTTTTTAACCATTCGTTCGTTCGCGGTCATTCGTCGAGATTCTTTTTAAAAAATTAAAAAAAGAAAAAAAAAAGAAAAAAAAAGAAAATCTATATCACAAATCTTTTATTGTTGCATCAGCATCGTCTTTTTCGTTCTTGGTTTGTTTCGTATTTTCTTTTCTTTATTTATATTTTTTTTTTTATTGCTTTTTTCTTTTTTCATTATTTTTTCTTTTTTTTGTTTTTTATCATTTTTACTTTACTTTTTTTTTTTTTTACGTTTGTTACTCCCCCTTTTTTTTGGCGATAAAGAACCCCTCAACATTACCAAAGCAGTAAAATTGCGAAAATCCGAATATTACGATTTTTCTGAAAATACATGTATATAATATATATATATATATATATATATGTATACAGGTGTATATATGTATATTTTTTGTCTTTTTTTCCTTTTGTATTCTGTTTTTATTATCTTTTTTCTTTCATTTTTTCTTTTAATATTTTCGCACAAGGAAAAATATATAATAATTATCGGCGAATCGAAGATTCGCATCTTTTGCTAGAATTGTATATTTATCGTATCTATCAATCTTTTATTTATCTCCGTCGCTCATACAGCACTGAACTCCTCCTGCCGCCCGTCATTGGCAAAAGTAAGAAAAAAAAAAAAAAAAAAAAAAAAAAGAGAAAAAAAGTATGTATATCGAATATCGTTAAAATACAAAATCGATTAACGCGTGGTCGACATTACATTCGTTATTAAAGTGCATATATATATATATATATATATGGGTATTGGTACTGATTATCTTCACTTGGTATTAAATAAGTATTTAAGTACTTACTTGATTACTTATTTACTTACTTACTTATTCATGTATTTATTTACTTAATTATTTACTTACTTCAAAAGACAATCGTATCGATCCAGCATTACAAAAGTCTCTCATTTCGAGAATATATATATATATATATACGTATATATATTGAACGGGTTCGTTCCTTAATTAGGTACTCAAGTGAATTTAAACCACCCCCATAGATTTAATAGATTTAACAGAAAATGTTATGGTACTATTATTACCATCATTATTATTATCAAGTAGTGGCATATATGTATTTACGTATATATTTATGTATATATTTATCGAGATCGTTATATCAAGATCATCCAGGATCTTGACGATCAACGGTGACATCAGGTCGTACGTTTTTCTCATTCTTCGACCTCTAATTTCCTCTCTCTCTCTCTCTCCCTCTTCGTCTCTCATTTTATCAAAAAAATAAAAGAAAAGAAAAATCAAATGGAATAAAAAAAGATTATATCAAAAATACACAAATAAATCAACGTATTCGTTTAGCTCGAACAAATAAAATCCACGAGATCGTAAAAGTAAATAATAATATAATATTATAATTGTATCAAATAATTATATTATAATTTAATTATTGAATAATTATCGAAGAACGATAAATATATGATACAACCATGAGGAAGCATCTAGCAATCCATTGATTCAACCTTTCGTGTATTTTAATTTACGCAGTTACGCGAATATCAAAAATGAAACGTTTCCTATGTACGATAATTTAAGATAAAGGAAGCGTTTTTTTTTTTTTTAGGTGCGTGTTATAACTGCCTGGACGGGTAGACAGTGTGTAAGTATTATTAAGAAATGATAAAATAAGCCTCTTTTTTTTTTTTAGATCGTATAGATCGGGCTAGTGACCTTTATTATAAGTGTCCTTGTTTTGATAACCTTGGACATATCCCGACTGATCGGGTAAATCCTTTCGACCAGCTATACCCTTACCCTTACCACTCTCGTCGAAACGTTGCTTATGAGAACCGGTGTATTTAGTAACATCCGTCAAACGATCCACCGTAGATGCTGCTTTACCGGCCTGCAAGTCGTTTTTATTGATAATATTAAAGGTGACCACTCTTGAAGACTTCTTAGTCTATGATCAATCATTGATGTTAATCAATTTTTAATCAGAATTAATCAATTTAATTAATCGAACAATCATTTGTTATTGTTAGTGTTAACGTTATTATTAGTGTTAGTATTAGTGTTAGTGTTAGTATTAGTGTTAGTGTTAGTGTTATTGTTACTGTTATTGATATTATTCGATACTAACCCCGGATGCACCTACTGTAACACCTGGTGCACCACAATTTGCCATCTTGTTTTTCATTTCAACGAAATCGACCTTCTTACTTTTAGCGAGTTCCTCGAGGAATGATTTGTACTGATCGATACCAAGTTTCATTGACCTAAACAAATTTTCATATCGATTGGAATATATATATATATATATATATATATATATATATATATATATGTATATATATATATTTCTTTTTTTCTTCTTGAAATGATAATGTTAAATTTTTCTTTTTTCCCCCCACCCCTCCCTCCCCCCCCCTTTTTTTTCCCTCAATCCACTCGCATAGATATTTATACACGTGCTTTCTTTATATGACTTATTTAATGATATCTTAATTAAATCTAATGATTATTTATTTGTTTGAATGATTGATAATAATACGTTAGAATACGAGAATTCGTACTTGTGTTTCTTGAAATAGATCCCGGTGTCCGTTGTTGTAATCTTCTTTCCATCAATCACTTTGGCCTGTTTCATCCATTTATCACTTTGGCTAAGTGTTATCAATTTTCCATCACTCTTAGGATCACCAAATTTCGAGAAAGCTTTGAAATTCGTCAAAAAGCTACCGGCTGGTGAACTGGCAGCTGGACTACCTGGCGTCGAATTTCCCGTATTAGCTGTAACGTCATCGAGCTTCATATTCGCAACTTCGTTCGTAACGTTTACAGAAGTTGCCACCTCATTTCCACCCTCATTCTTTTCCTTCTCGATAGTACCGTTCTTTTCTGCCTCCATTTTTCACAGAATAAACTTGCTTAACTGTGAAAAAAAGAAAATTTGCAAAACATCTGTTTTAAAAATTATTCAAAAGAACATCATGAAAAGACTAAGTATTTCTTTAACGAATGTAATTGCTTTTTCTTTTCTTTATTCTTTTTTCTTTTTTCTTTTTTTTTGGGGGGGGGGGATTTTTTTCAATTTTCTCAAATTTCTCAAATCTTCATGGATATTTTATACGAATTAAAAAAGTTTTAATTTTGTTTTGATATTGTAGAAAAAGTTTATGAATTTTTTAATTAAATATTACGAAATATCTCGAAGAAAGAGAGTGAATTGAAACAGTATTTTAATTGAAATTGTTCGAATTGAAAATTTTGATATTATTATTAAAAATTTTTTAATTGAAGAATTAAATATTATAAGATTAAAAAAAAGGAAAGAGTGAGAGAAAGAAAAAAGTTGATAAAAGAATTATAATTAAAATTGTTTGAATTAAAAATATTGACGTTATCTAAAAATTCAAAAATTTGTTAATTGAATATTATGAAATATCTCAAAGAGAGAAAAAAAATAGGGAGAGAGAGAGAGAGAGAGAGTAAAAAAAGTAGGGAAAAAATTACAAAAGTAATTATAATTGAAATTGTTTGAATTAAAACAATGAAATTTGAACAGAATTAAAACTATTAAAATTGTTTAAAAATTAAAAAAATATTCTATATCAAAATATAAAATATCTGAGAAAAAAAAGATAGAGAGAGAGAGAGAGAGAGAGAGAGAAATTTTAAAAAATCATATAATTGAAATATGTTTGAATGAAACATATTGGAAATCGTTTTATGGAAGAATTTTGTTAATTAAATATTATTAAAAGATTATAAACGAACGTCTATCGAATAAATCGATCGGACGTTATTTCTTCGATAAATAATTTCAAAATTTAATATCTTCCTTCATTTTCGATTAGAATCACTTAATCTTATTAATCTCCATAAGATTGACAATCCTTAAACTTTCTTTTATTTCTTTATTAATCGCGTTATCGATTTATATATATATATATATATATATATATATATATATATATATATATATAAATATATATATCATAAAATTTATCGCGTGGCAATCAACAAAAGTGTTCGTGCATGCACTCTAATTATTTACACTCGCGTCCATACTAGATTATGTTTTATCAAAACTTGCTTTTTCTTCTTTCGTTTCTTTCTCATTCTTTTCTTTTCTTTTTTATTTTTTTACGCGATTTTATTCACAAGGTTTCACTCAATTTTTACACGATTTAGCAAAAACGCAAATGCTTTGATTATAAGCATGCTAAAAGTTCATGCTAATGCTATATTAGTTCGCGCTATTTTCATTTTTTTTCTTTTAGAAAATATACTTTTTCCCTTTATCTTCTTTGTTTTTATTTCTTTTTTTACTTTATCATTTTTTTTTTGTATTATTATTATTATTATTTTTTTTTTTTTTTTTTTTATTCTCTCAGACACATCAATTTTTCTTTCGTGTGTTCGTCAAACGACAAATGCTTTTTAATGAATGCATTTCGATATTTTGAATTACTATTTTTTTGTTTCTATTTTCTTGCTTTAGAATTCGCGTTAGTTGAACGCAAATTTTGTACTTTTTACAAATGGATTTTTACACGATTCTTTTTTCTATTTTTGTTTTTTTTTCTTCTTTTTCTTTTTTTTTTTTTTACATGCCACACGCTCCACTGCATGCTGCATGCGTAAAAGAAGATTGAGGGTTTAAGTATTATTATTATTATGATTATTTTTATTATTATATATTATTTATATATTTTTTCTATTATATATATATATATATATATATATTTATTTATTTATTATTACTTGCGTTTCGAATATGAAATTATTAAAATCGATAGCATTATTCATCAACTATCATCAATATTCTCACTACGAGTCTATTATAATTTTTCGCTACATTAAACATTAGATATATTTCTATGGATGAACAAATATTTAACTTTACATTAGACTAGGAACTGTCCAATAGAATTCAGGATCATTATTTTTTGCGTGACTTCTCGCTAAAGGTTGAAATTAATTATTCTAGTCGTAATTACGTAAATTAGTTGAAAAGCAATCGGATAACGTATCGTGATTAGAAACGTATAAAATGCATTTATAAATTTTTAATTTCTTAATTCTTTTTTTTTTTTTTTTTTTTTTTTTTTTTTAATTTAATTTTATACACGTTTGTTATCTTTTCGAACCTTCCATACCCCTCCTTTTCTCAATACGTCATAATTTAAATTTGTTATACATAACAAATATTTTTATTTTCTTTCTCATATAATATCTCCATTCAGGTAGATTATTTTTTTATTTTTACATTCTTTTATTTTTTCATTTCTTCGTTGATTTGCATGTACATAAAAGAAATATATATATATATATATATATATATATATATATATATATATATATATAAATTGTACAAAATTTAATAGGATGTATGATAGAAAATGTTGGAACCATGACGAAAAAATTTGTAATGCGAATTTTGTAATTCGAATTTTAATTCGTTAAATCCTTAAAAAAAAAAGTAATGATTTTACGATATAATGACGAATGAAGAAAAAAAAAAAAATAAAAAGAAGAAAAATAATATTCATTGCAATTATCAAATCAATGGCAACAGCTGTTCTTAACCCCTCTAACCGATGACATATCATTCTAAATAAACGATAACATGAGAATGCAATTTCAAGGTTTAATACATAACTTCAATCGTTAACATATATGTATGTTAATCCATACATATATATATATATATATATATATATATATATATATATATGGTATAATGTATGTATGTGTGCTTATAGAACAACGATATTTTTGACGAAACTATGTCGCGAGTACTTGGACATAGTTGATTATCTTATACACTATATTGGGATTACACTGTATACGACCTATAACCATAAACCAGTGCTGAGTAAATCATGTCATTTTATTTTTAACAATACGATGAAAAATGTATATAAGTAATAATATTTTTTTCTTTTGTTTTTTTTTCTTTTTTGAATTTTTTAAACAGAAATAATATTAATATTTTTTTCTTTTGTTTTTCTTTTTTTTTTTTAAATATTTTAAACAAAAATATAAGATATATATATACATACGTATGTAGAATGTTATAAAATTATATAAATATTTTATATAATTATATATAATAAATATTTTATATTAATTATATATAATTTAATAATGTATCATTTCATTCGATTATAAAAATATTAATACAAATTTTATTTTATTCGAATATTAATATATATATATATATTATAATATATAATCATTAATATACAATTAAATAAAATTTAAAGATCCCAAAGTAAAATTTACTTTTAAAAAAGTCTCTTAAAATATTTATAAATTATTTATTATATAATAATCATCATTTAAATATATATATAAATATCACCACACTATCTTATGGTTAAAAGTAACTATAATCCCTTTTTTTTTTTTTTTATATCTTCGCATGTAATACGACCTCGCGAAAACCGCACCGATACTACATTCATATTATCCGATTGAAAGGCTTCGCAGCCACCTGACAGAACGAGAGAAAAAAAAAGAAAAAAAAAAAAAAGGAAAAGAAAAGAAAAAAAGAAAAAAGAGAAACGAAACAAAACGAACACAACAAAACCAACCAATCAACCAACTAACAACAACGCGAAGAGAGAAAAACGATGAGCCTGTGTTAAAAAGTCACCGAACGACAAGTTGATGCGTCTAGTAAGGTTGTTACTAAAGTATCGGATTATTTCAGAATCTATAAATAGAGATTACGACTGTTTGCGCGTATTAACGTGGTTAGCGGCATAGGTGACGTGTTATTAGGTAATACACTAATGTAATCTATATATATATATATATATATATATATATTTTTTTTTTTTTTTAATTATAATTTTGTGTTAAATTAATAAAAATATAATTTTAAATTTTATTAAAAATAAATTCATATATATATATATATATATTAATTTATTAAATTAAAAAAGAAGAATATATATATATACATAGATCACTAACTTGATTGTAATAATCGTCATCGATCATCGAAATCGAACGATGTATCTAGTGTTTCTGATGATTGCTTTTATTTTATCGGCGATATCGTGATTTCGAAAAAAATACAGAAAAAGAAAAAGAAAGAAGAAAAAAAAAAGAAATAAAAGACGATATCGACGAACTTTTTTATCCAGCATTTATTAGTATGAAAGATAAATCGTAAATAATCTAAGAGATACATACTAAAAGAATGAGAAAGAAACTATTTATTTACGATGTCTCATATTTACTTTTTTCTCTTTTTCTTTCTCTCTCTCTCTCTCTCTCTCTCTCTCTCTCTCTCTCTCTCTCTCTCTCTCTCTCTCTCATTCCTTTTTTCTTTTGCGATCAGACGAATGAAATATTGATGATAGGAGGGGAGGAAAAATATTACGTACTTTGGTGCTTCCTCTCTCTCTCTCACTCTCTCTCTCTCTCACTCTCTCTCTCTCTCTCGCTCTCTCTCTTTTTCATTCTTTTCTTTTAAAAAAGCTAAACGAGTAAAAAGAAGACAATCTCTCTCTCTCTCTCTATCTCTCTCACTGTCTCTCTCCCCTTTAAAAAAATAAAGTGCATCAAACAAGGAAAAAGAATAGGACATGATCTCTCTTTCTCTCTCTCTCTCTCTCTCTCTCTCTCTCTCTTTCTCTCTCTCTTTTCATCTCTTCTTTAAAAAAAATAATAGGATACACCATATAAGAAATAAATAATAGGACTTGATCTCTCTCTGTGTTTTTTCCTCTCTTTATCTCTTCTTTACAAAAAAAAAGGATATACCATATAAGAAAAAGAATAATAAAACTTGATTTCTCTCTTTTTTTTTCCTCTTTTATCTCTAAAAAAAAAAAAAAGTAGAATACTATAAAATAAAAAATATAAGACTCTCTCTCTCTCTCTCTGTCTCTCTGTCTCTCTCTCTCTCTCTCTCTCTATCTTTCTGCCTCTGTCTCTGTCTGTCTCTCTCTCTCTCTCTCTCTCTCTCTCTCTTTTTCACTCTCTTTTCACACAATTGGACGAACTTAAATGATTGGAGTTATAGTTAATTGAGCATAGATTCCTTCATAGAAATAACTTTTGGCTTTTTCAATAAGACTTAACAAGGGTTGTTATTCGAAGGGTTCAATGATGAACAACGCTTGATAAAATGTGGAACGATCTTTATATGTCGTTGTATATATGTCTCGGTGCGTCTCTATATCCATGTGTATATGTATATGTGTGGATGTGGGTGTGTGCATGCACGTATGTATGTATGTATGTATGTATGTATGTATATGTACAAAAAGTTCAAGTTGAAAAGCTGTTAAACGAGCCTATCCAAAGGGAATGTGTACTGTTCAGGGCGCATGTGTTCTATCGATCTACCCCAACAGGAAGCACGCAGCCACCCTCCTAACAAAGATATAGAGAGAGAAAGAAAGAAAGAGAGAGAGAGAGAGAGAGAGAGAGAAAGAGAAAGAGAACGTATATCTTTGAACTTGCTTTTCAAAGCTCAGCAGCAGCAGAAATAATAGCACAGTGGGTAGTCCTGTGTTAATCGAAAGACTTTTAATTATCTAGTTAGATCTATACGTTTGTAGATTTTATTAAATAATTAATACGATATTTATATATATATATATATATATTTTATATAAATAAATATATGTATTTTATATAAATAAATATATATATATTTGTATATATAAAATATATAATTTATATATATATATAAGTATATTATATTGATATATATTAAACCTACATTTTAGAAATATATACATATATATATATATATATATATATATATATATATATATATACATTATGTATTACATATGATCTTTCATCTGATGCGTACAGATTTTACATACTGTAAAATTTAAATTTTACATTTGTATGATATAAAATTATGGAGATGGCGAATGAAAAGAAAGAAAAAAAAAAAAAAAGAGAAAAAAAAAAGAAGAAGAAAAAAATAAAGAAAAAAATAGAAATTAAAGAACGCGAGAAGAATTTCTACTTCAAAATTTCGTTAACATTGAAAGTCTTATCACGTAATGGTACGGGGTCGGGTCGGGGCGAGTCGGGCCGGGCCGAGCCGGGCCGAGCCGGGGTGTGGGAGTTAAAGAGAAAAAGTTGGCAGACGTAAAATCGTAAATGTTCTTGACCTAGATTTTCTACATAACAATAATCATAGAATATTAAAAGGAACTTCTTAATAATTTCAATGTATTCCCGTCATGAAATCACGATCTCTCGTTTTCATTCACATTTTATCTAAGTAACGTGGATTCACTGATAAAAATAATCTTAATCATTATTACGCGTAACATTAAATAATAAGCAAATAATTTTCAAACGTATAATAACATTTCGTTATCGCTGTTAATGGATAAACATTATAATATATTTTATATCGGCTAACAATAAATAATAGAAAATCTTTATTGTTAAATCTTATCTTCGACAGTATATTTAAACTAACCGTATGTCTATTTGTGGATGACGTTAATTCTGAAAGAAGACACGATATGTGTATTACGTATCTGTTAAGCGTCTCTCTCTCTCTCTCTCTCTCTCTCTCTCTCTCTCTCTCTCTGTGTGTGTGCGTGTGTGTGTGTATATATATGTGTATCTGTTTGTATCTGTCTCTATGTATGCATAAAAATGTTTATAGAACACTTATTAGCTTATCTTCTTTTAATGTTTATATTTTATATTTTTTATCCCTATTTTTTTTTTATTTTTATTTTTTTTTTTTTCTTCTTCTTTTTTCTTTATTATAGGATTCATGAAATATCCTACCCCAAGTCGTTGTTAGTTACACCTTCTTCTTTCTATTTCACTTCGATGAAATGAAAAATTAATATCTTTATTTTTTATTTTTCTTCTTCCTCTTCTTCTTCCTTCTTTATCTCTCTCTCTCTCTCTCTCTCTCTCTCTCTCTCTCTCTCTCTCTCTCTCTCTCTGTCTCTCTCTCTCTCCCTCTTTTTTTCTTTGTTTTTTATTTATATCGCACAAACAAAAGATGAATAATTTTGAATCACGTTTAGTTACGAATAGAAAAAAAAACCTATGGCAATAACATCGATTAATACCGACGCGAGTTCATTCGCGCGATTCCAGCCAAGAGGAGGCTAAGAACGAGACTGAACCATCGCTGTGCTTCCATCTATAACGATATCCCCACCTACTAAATAACCGAGAGAACTTTGATTTCTTTACGTTGCGGAAGCTGCGAAACTTCCGTACAAATGCGGACATCTTTGAATTTATATTTTTTATATATAATAAATATTTTATATTAATTATATATAATTTAATAATGTAACATTTCATTCTATTATAAAAATATTAATACAAGTTGTATTTTATTCAAATATTAATGAATAAATATATATTAATTAATACATATATATATATATATATATATATATATATATGTATAATGTATATATGTCAGTATAAAATGTATGTATTAATCAATACATTTTATACAATTAATAATTAACTATTATTGTTATATATATATATATATATATATATATATATATATATATGTATACACGTATAAAACGTATGTATTAGTTAATACATTTTATACAATTAATATTTAAATATTATTATTATTACTATTATTATTATTATTATTATGATATCAAACTTTAAGATAATTAACAGATACAATGCTTGATTAATTTTAATCCTTATATAATCAATATTTTTAATAAATCTTTGACAATAGATTGTGTTTCAAACTGTATTTCTTATCATTTTATAGATAACCGATCTCATTTTTTTTTTCTTTTTTTTCGTTTTTTTTTTGGCTTTTTTTGTTTTTTTTTTTTTGCTATATTCCCTTATCCCCCGTATCTTATCTTATATACATTTAGTATATACCAGCTTGTTTCTTCATAATAATCATTCGCAATCATTGTCGGATATAAAATGTATAAGATAGATAACATAGACAGATAAGATTTAATAATAATTTCAACTTTCGAATGGTCATTCAATGTTTATTTGAAATTTTAACGCGCCGAATGCTTTCACAAATAGAATAATCCAATATAACTTTAATTACGTTCGATTAAATGCGTTCATTTTTAAATTATAAACGAGATGAATACATAGGATGGGGGAGAGAAAAACAAAAAGAAAAAACAAAAAGAAAAGCGAAGAAGAAAAAATTCGTATAAAAAAAAGTTTGTTGTATCAATGGAAAGTAAATGATTGATTTCAGACGTATATAATTAATACAAATAATACAATAAAATCATATTAAAATATCATGATTCAAAATCTTATCATTATTTTTCTTTACGTGATTACATTTCTTTTTTTTATTTCATAAAAAGATCGCACGCATATATAAAAATATATTATGTATTTTTAAAAAATTTATCATTTGAAATAATCAAATAATTTATTATCAATTTATAAATACTAAAATTAAGCAAAATTTTTTTTTAGAATTTAGATCGATCGTATTAAATCAAAAGAAATCGTATGTAAACAAAATCGGATATACAAACAATAAGAGATAAATATTTCTACCGAATGCCTTATTGTTTACATTATATTTATATATATATATAATACACGGTTTATTAAATGAAAAAATTTAATGAAAACATTTAATTCAAATAAATTGATTTATTTTATATAAATATCTACATATGTTACGTTTGAATTATTTCAATCGAATTGTAATTGATTACGACATTTGGAAAGAGCCAATGAGGAAGAAACTTTTATAATACATCAATACTGATTGGTTGATTTTAAACATTTCTTTACATTCTATTCGATATGATATCATCGAATTTCTTTCGTCCAATCGCGAGAGAGCTCAGGTATGACGACTGATATCAACGACAGTGACAACTTAACCTAACAAATCATACTTTGAATAAGAAATCCAATCACAGTAAGTATGTTTACGATATGTTTATTTAAGATGATCAATAATGTTTTTCATTGATTTTATTGCACCCATCACACGATTTACAAACAATATATTTCTCTATAAATTCCATATTAAATTTTTCTTTAGTTTTGTTTACTTACGTAAACCAAAAATTGGATAAATATTGTCGATCAGTAAAAGAAAATAATACTTAAAAGAAAAGTCGATATAATTTGTTAACGTATGCATTTTATTTCATTCATGTATTTACTGGAAAACGTGTAAAAATAATTTTATCATCGATTGTACGAAGAACCTTAATACGTTCATCATAAATCAATCAAATGAGGTTAGAATAATGTAATTAATTAAAATCAAACGAGAATTTGTGATATATTCTTGTATTCAATAAATATCACATAAAACATGTAAATCGAGAGATGAGTGTATATATTATTTTATATATACATATATATATACATATATATATATATATATATATATATATATATATATATGTACATTGTTTTATAATATACCAATTCTAATGTATACTTTTAGGTCATAATTTGTTTCTTTCCGTTCAATATGGACGATGAACGATGCATTAAGAAAGCTAAATTAGAAAACGTACAGAATTTAAAAGAAGGAGAAGCTGAAATATTGGTAACTCATAAGAATGTGTTTTATAATCCGGTACAAGAATTCAATAGAGATCTTAGTATAGCTGTATTATCGCTCTTTGCAAAGGATCAACAAGATATAAATGAAGAAAATAATATTTTGAAAAATACCATAGTAAATAAATCAAAGGGTGAATCATGTTCTAAAAACGATGGTATTATTATATTAGAAGCTTTGTCTGCGACTGGTTTACGTAGCATCAGATATGCCAAAGAAATAGAAGGTATAAAAGAAATAATAGCTAATGATATTTCAGCTGAGGCTGTAAAATCTATTAAATTAAATATTCAACATAATGGAGTGGAAAATTTAGTAAGACCAAGTCATGAGGATGCTACAATGATCATGTATCAAAACAGAAGAAAAGGTTTTCATGCTGTTGATTTAGATCCTTATGGTTGTCCTTCAATCTTTTTAGATGCTGCTGTACAATGTGTAGTAAACGGTGGTATACTTTTGGTTACAGCAACAGATATGGCAGTTTTAGCTGGTAACTCTCCAGAAACGTGTTACGTTAAATATGGCGCTATAGCTCTTAAAACAAAAGCTTGTCATGAGATGGCATTAAGAATTTTATTGCAACATATCGCATCTCATGCTGGACGTTATGGTCGCTATATAATACCCTTATTATCTATAAGCGTTGATTTCTATATAAGAGTATTTGTGAAAGTATTTGTAAGCCAATTAAAATGTAAAGAAAATGCTAGTAAAACAGGATTGGTATATCAGTGTACGGGTTGTGAAAGCTTCAATATTCAATCTTTAAATACAAAAAAATCAAATAAATTTTGTAAACCTCATATAACTATAGATCAACATTGTAAACATTGCAAACATAAACATTATGTTGGTGGTCCTATTTGGATTGGACTGTTACATGATCAAGATTTTGTCTCACGATTATTATCCAGTTTAGATAATTTGAAATTAAAAACGAAACAACGAATAAAAGGTGTTTTAACTATGATAAACGAAGAAATAGATTCACCTTTGTATTATACATCAGATCGTTTAATGTCTATCATCAAATGTAGTACACCGCCTATGGTACTAATCAGGTCTGCATTATTAAATGCAGGATATAATGTATCATATTCTCACGCAAATAAATTCTCTATTAAAACTGATGCACCAAATGATGTCATATGGGATATTGTACGTGCATGGGAGAAACGTCATCCAGTTAAAAGGGAAAAATTTAATGCTGATAATCCTGCATTAGTTATATTAAATACTCCATCGACAATAAATATTTCCTTTGCTGTACATCCAAAAGCTAATCCAATTTCTCGACAAACTGGATTATCAAGGTTTCCAGAAAATCCAACTGAAAATTGGGGTCCTGGTACACGTGCTACAACAATGATAGATGTTACAATGATAGAATCGAAAAAAATTAAGAATCAAGGAAAATTTAAACAGAAAATTAAAATATTAAAGGATCAACATATGGAAAATGAAGGTGACAATGAAAAGACAAGTACAGATTTGTCGTCGAGTAATCAAGACATATAAAAAAAAAATATATATATATATATATATGTGTGTGTAAATTATTTTTATTACATTAATGAAAAATGTACAAATGTTTTTATAAAAAAAAAAAAAAAAAAGAAATCATAACGATAATCAAAATATTATCGTTGAATGTAAATATATTTATAATTAAAAGAATATCATGTCTTTAGTTTTAAATATTATTAAAAAAAAAAATAATTGTTTCATCTAAAATGAATGATTTAAAATTATTAAAGATTAACAATTCAAAATATATCGTGAAGAATATTTGAATTTAACCTTTAACACTATTGCTGTGATACGATGAATATATGTGAGAACGTAATACTAGATTGTTAATGTGTGCGTATGCACACATGCATCACTGTCTCGTTTCTTTCATCATTTTATCAAGTGTTCTCAGTTGTTTGTAGTATCCTTCACGAAGTCATTACGTAAACGAGAGTTGACTCATGCGATTATAAATCAGGTAGGATAAATGTTAAATATTTTTTTGTATAATATCTAATAATTTTAATATTAATTTTGTCTATTATAGAAATATCATAAAAGTTATAATAAAAAGTAAAATTAGATTTGATAATAAATATAAATTATTGAAATTCTAATGAATATTATCATATTACATACATTAGATAATTTCGTAAAGTAACACTTGTTGCGTAGTAATTATTGCCTAGTAATATATAGTATATGTATATATATATATATATATATAATGATTTATTGATTAATTAATAATTATCATTTAAATAAATATTTCTTTTTCTTTAATAAAATATTTATATAATAAATATTTATTGTTATCACGTAGATTATCAAATATGGCAGCACCGACATTAACATTGAACAATGGTAATAAAATTCCTGTATTAGGTCTTGGTACTTGGCAAGGTGGTGTGAGTACTTTTACAAAATTAAAAATATATATCCTTTTGTGATTTATAATGTATTATTAATATTATATTAATTAAAAATTTCAATTCTTTTTACTACATAATGTCATTAAAATTTCTTTGCTTTTTATATAATAGGATGATCCAT